CTACTACTCCTGCTGCTGCTGCTCCTACTACTACTACTACTACTGCTGCTGCTGCTACTACTACTACTACTACTACTACTACTACTACTGCTGCAACTAAATGATACTGACAATAGTACTAGCAGCTACTAACACAAATACAAATGTCAATACAAAACCAATATTGACGATACGAATACAAAGACGAGTAGTAATACTGATCGTCAGTGGTACTCGTAGTACTGTACTGGTAGTGCCTGTCAAACAAATTGCTGGTAGTACTGGGAGTATCATCGAGTATCTGGGAATACTGGTAATCATCTTCGTGGCAACTGCGGTAGCAGTAATTGTTGTAGCCGGTGTCCTTTTGTTGTAGAGGAGTAGAAGCAGAGTAGGAGTAGCAGTAGCAAGGAGCCGGAATAGGAGTAGGAGTACGAGCCGAAGTTCTGGTGGAGCAGAAGGCGTAGGAACAGGAACCGGAAAAAGAGTAGGAGCGGGAGGAGTAGCGGTCCTCTTCCTCCTCCTCCTCTTCCTACTGCTACCACTCCGTCTGATCCAACCGCCGACCGCTTCCACTGGTAGCTTTGTCGCTTGTAATTAAGACTCTCACCCTCGATCGTCACTATCATTCATCATCGCGATCGTTTTCTGGTTCTCATGCTCACTCGCCGGACCACCGCTGGTGATGTTACTAGAATCCGCTGCCCGTCACCAGCACGGAGCGGCTCCCTGCATTAAGAAGGGCGTTCCGCTGCGTGTTGTTTTTGAATGTGGGTCCATTTGCCAGCAGTACTGGCCTCGTGCTTGATCTCGCCCGTGTCACCGGCGAAGAGGGCCAGGAAGCCCTGCTGCCGGCCTGAGCAATCAAAAGCTAGACTTCAAAAAAGCACGTCAAAAGTGCTTTGTCGGAGTAGAGGAGAGGACAACAGGATGGAAGAGGAGAAGCGAGGAGGCGCCGAGATCGTCGTAGTCGTACCATGTACTTTTGAAGAATCCCTTGAATCTGGAAACCACCACACTTGGCTTGGGTGCCGGGCTGTTGATGACATCAATCTCATGCAGGTTCACGGTGTGTACCACCTTTCGACTTTGCGGTCTCAGAAGGCAGACGTTGGGAGCGCTGGCTCGACAGGCCCCAAGAGTAGCAGTCCGCAGTAAAGAGCTGTATCAGAAGGGTTACGACGCGGGACGAGCCTGTGCGCCCGCATGCGTTTTCGATCTTCCATGAGTTGGGTATGAAGATGACTGAAAGGCTACAGACTGGCAAATATGTGCAAGTTGTAGTGTGTGGTGGAGCGTTCAACAGCCATCCCCTGGACAGAAGCATGTTTGCCCAAACAGGTCTGGCTGCAAACATGCTCAGCTTGCAGAGTGCGGCGGGGAGTGGTGACAGCACGTGGCTAGTAGGTCCGTGGGAACAACAAGAATCCAACAGACACGCTTTCGAAGCCATGGGTGTTGACAGCAAGAAGAGAGTATCAGTTTTGCCGCTTTGCAGTCAGCAACCTTTCGGTGAACGAAGGCCACGTAATGTGCAACAGGATGTCGGGAATCCCAGGACTTGAGCCGCAGTAGAGTTGGTTCACTTCAGAATCAAGAAATCTAAGAAGGCACTGCCGAAAGCTTACCGACCCGTTCAGCCTTTCGTCGTAGATGGCGCTAACAAGTCAAATTCACTACCGCGGTTGCTTGGAACCCGCCTCCTTTCGCTTCTGAAGCTCGCCTTCGGGGCACTGCACAAAGCGAGTCTGTGGACCCATGGCATCGTAGTCGCGGGACCTGCGGTCGGACGTCAAGGGGCCAAGAGGCGAAGGTGCATGGATGGCAGGCGAGCCTCGCGAAAGATCGACCTAGAAGAGAGATCTTGCCGGAGGACTTATCAATTGTGATGATGTCCCCGGCCTGCAAAGGCTCCGATTGGCGACTCGGCTCGGCCGGATTCAGGGTCTGAGACCTAGGACCTAGGAACTAGGCCTAGGCAGATGTTGCTAAATCAGCTAGCCAGCAAGACTCCTGAACCTATGCACTCAATCACAAGTAAGATGCAGGATGGGTTGAGCTGTTGGTGTCCTCATCCTTTCTTGCCATCCATTCCTGAGTCTCAGGGAATGTTCCGATCGATCTGGCCTGGATCTGTTCCTTCTGAATGGTCTCGATCATCTTCTGCCTGGCCGCGCAGAGTGTTCTAATTAGGGGTGAAGCAAGACTGCTTACATTATGTTTACGTTGAGTGATCCGTCTTGAACTGCATTCAGCCATACTGTATCGGTCAGGCAGGCCCGAGATCATACATGGTCTCCATCTCGGTTGTCTTCAAGGTCATCTTACCTGGCCATGTCTGCACCCCCAACAAGACCACCCGTGGGCCAACAAAGGCATTCAGGACTTGGAAAGAGAAAAGCCTGGCTACCAAAGCATAGCACATTAGCTGCAACCGTCTTGAGAAGATCGTAACAGCCGGGCTCACCGAAGGTCGCCGCCTGGCCATTCGCCGGGCGCTCAATCTCGATTTCTACGACCTGGCACCAGCTTGCATCAGAGGAAGGAGAGCCGAGGCAAGGGGGGCTCGGCAAGCTTGAGGGTGACAAATGTTGTCGGAACTATGACCGTGACTCTTGCACTGCCCTACCTCTCCTTCGATGATCTCGGCTTCCTCTCGTATTCGGACACCAATGGATCTTCGAAACGCCTCAGCAGCATGTGGGCGAGACTGGCTGGAAAAATCCATGCCCAGTTGTTCCTGCATGCCCCCAGCTGCATACTATCTGACCCTGCCTGTGTCAGGGCTTCGGTCTTGGACATCTCCAATGAGAAGATCTCTGATCCCGCTAGCATGGTGAAGGGCCTTTGTGTGGCCAGATCTCCATCATCATCAACAACAAGAGCAACAGCAGCATCAAATGGAACAGGCACTCTGCAAAAAGTCTTCGCTAGCTGCAGGGCGCAGATCCTCGCACCGAACAAGAAGCCGAGTGCATCGCGTGTCGTCACCCAGTGCCTCTTCCACACAGCTTGCTTCGACGACTCAGGCACACATGCAACCAACGATGTAACGATGAAGTGATACGACCACTGTGCACCTTGGCCATGCCCATTGCGATGGCCTCGGCTCGACTGTTACAAATGTACTAACCAGGCTCGGTGCTTGTCGGGCCGTCTGTGTACTGTCTTGCAAACTGCAAAGTTTCTTTATGGTAGCTGTGAAAGATTGCCCAATCCGAAAAAATGTCGAGTCAGGTGAGTTGCATGAGGCACCAAGCACTGAAGTTCCGAACTTCATGTCGAGCTACTAGTACCAGCGCCACACTCTTCCGGAAAGCCGAGCTAATGAGTACTAGATGCAGGGCAGACCAATTCTTCTGATCCAACCCCCTCCTGGTGTCCCTACAGCCTGGATGCCTCCAAAGAATCTTGGGGGCGGGCAGTCTTGCCAGTTCCCGGCTGGCCAGCAATGAGGACGGCCCGTCCAGCAATTTTCTCTTCCTGCGCCAGCTCAGACTGTGACATGCAGCTACACGAGCATCCGGACGAACCTGCCCACCTCAGGCGTTAGTAAGTAGCAAGTTACTGCACCGCTCAGTTCAGCTCGATTGGTACCTGTCGGTGAACTGATACTTAAAAGAAGTCGGCCTGGATCATGGACAAAATCACGCCCGCAGCTCGCCTCTTCAGAATTGGGACATTCTGATGTGCCAATGACAGAACAGTGTGGCGATCTAAAAGCGATCATATCTATTGGCAAATGATGTTCAAGCCAGGAAGCCGTACATTTAACCATACCTTTATTGACATGCTCACAGGAGGCACAATCACAGCACAAACTTTGAACCCACAGGTTTAGCAAGAGACTACCGATGGATGCAGGCCGTGGCCTGGCTCCGTTTTGGCCGACCATGCCCTGACAACGAGCACACAGCCAAGAACAAGCCATGTCGCCGTTGTCACTGTCACAAAGCCCTCAGATATGCTCTACCTGACTCTGCCTTTCGCCGGTACAGCACCAAGCAGCGCAACAAATTGCTTACACGAACACCAGATTGAATGGAAAGCTTGCAACTCTCGTCGACCCCCCAAAATGCTGCACAGTCGAATGTGCAAACATCTCCGTCCAAACCTGCAAGCGACTTTCAGAACGAGTATGTCCGAAATATTGATTGAGACGCATGGACGATGATGCCTGCAAAACATTTGCAACAGCGGCGCCTGCGAGACCATCCGCGCATCCAGCGCATCATCCAGGCCAAGGCCACGGATGTGCGAATGGGCGCCTTACTGTAGCTCGGGTTTTAGGCGAACTGCAGAGCCAAGTGGAGTGAACAGCCATGGGACGAGGACTGGAGACTGGCAGGCCTTCAAAACAAGCCAATGACGAGCGATGCTGGCAGAATGCAATCCGTCCGAATGGTCCATCCTTTAGATCACTTCAATGAGGTGTCACGTACTTCTGCAACCCGTTTAAAATTTTTCGAAACTGTGGAGCAACTGCCATCAGCAGAAGACGGCATCGACTCTTCCATTCTAAGGCCTCTACCGATTCTCTCCAGTCTATGGACATCACGGACCTTTGCAAACAATCAGCAGGTAAGAGATTTAAATCCAAGGCGGTTCAGGCAGACCCTAAACGTTCCTGGCCAATAGACAAGTTCGTTCTACGAGGTTAAAGTTTGAGTATGTAATGCAACATATCATCTGCTACAAGCAAAGACGCTAGGAGTTCCCCAAAGTCAGGCTTTGAACGGCATGCCTCCGCAATCTTGCGCGGGTCTGTGGACGCCATCCTGAAGCCATCCAGTAGGATAGTATGCCCTCTAAGACACCGCTTGGAAAGGCAAAGCAACTCGCATGCGAAGTCTGTCGGGCCTTGACCGTGGCCCTGATGCCCAGCTTCACCGGTGCGGGGCCCTACTCTAGAACTCTGGAAGCGGCGGCACGCTGACCCTGCACGGAACCTTCGAGTTTCGCTGGAGAAGTGTACGGTTTCGCCTTTCAGCTGTCAAGAGAAGCAGGCATGAACTGTCACAGTTCGGACGACTACCTGTCGCAGGAACCTGTACGCTTCGAGTAGATTCCAGAGAGACAGAGATGGACATGAAGAGGCTAGTCGGAGAGCAGACCTACGTATTTTCACCCTAGTCACCCGGCTCTCGTCGAGCCATGGTAGCCTGAACTTTCGATCCACAGCGAGGAGCTTCGGTGGGATCCGAGAGACATTGCTGCGCACTGGGACAGATGCACTGCAGCTGGCAACCCAAACTTTTGGTTTGAAAGGTCTCAGGAGTTGAGGATCACCGCCTAGAAGTAAGTTGCTAGCATTGCCACAGAGCCGCGCAGAAGGCATGCACGAATTGTAGTTCGATGCCATGGGTCATAAAATGACGGCCCACCTTGAGCCGTACACTACTGTATCATCTTTTGACGGTCCTGTTTAAATACAGAAGATGCCTCAGCTGCTGGCATCGAAGCATACAGACATTAAACCAAACTGGCAAGCAACATCCCCACAAGTCAGGCAAGAAATTTGAGTCCCGTGCTAGTCGTACCACGTGCTTTCCATGTGAGGCTGCGTCAGGTTTGTCATTAACCTGCTGTCATTGCGTACGGCAATGGAGCTGCCAAGCACAAGTCTCCAACTCTTTAAGCTAAAGCTCGAGCTTCTTGATGCGAGGACATCCACCCTTCACTTAGGAGGACTGACGGCAAGAGCAATTGGAACAAAGGCTACCTGCCGATCGTGCTGTGCGTATCGAGTGCGTGGAGACGTACGCTTGACAGCGAAGATTGAGCTCTACAGCGTCAACCAACAGCCTCTGGATGTTGAATGAAGCACGAAGACTAGGCTACAAAATGCAACATGCTGGAAGCGAAACGCCGAGTTTCAACATCCGAGCTCTACCCCTAGGCACATGTAGCGCGTCCCAGGCGCGCAGAAGGCTGCAGGCAGTCAGGGAAGGCTCCGCAACTCCCGCCTCTCAACAAGTTGCTGACTGCTACCAATTGGTCCAGGCTTTGGGTAGGGCAATTCTCATAGTCGCAACCTGAACAGAAACAATGAAGACATACTCAAAGAGAGTATTGACTCAGTGATGTACAGACAGATATGGGTAGTTGTCAAAATTACGGTCCCTTTTCGGGTACCCTAAATAATAGGTGCCGCATTATAATAAGGACCCAAAAAGGGACCATAATTTCCCTAAGCCCTAAACCCTAAACCCTAAACCCAAAAAGGGACCATAATTTTGACAACCACCCACATAGAACCCCTTATAGTACCCTTATAGAAACCCTAGAAATCCCTTTAAGGAACCCTTATAGTACCCTTATAATTTTGACAACCATCCGTATGAACGCGAAGCTGCTGAGCATCAGCAGGCTTTGCCTCGGCTGCCAGGCTCAGACCGACTCTTCGCTGCCAACGGAGGAGTCGTCGTCAGAAACCTCCAAACATCTGGGTTTAGGGTTTAGGGTTTAGAGTTTAGGGTTTAGGGTTTAGAGTTTAGGGTTTAGGGTTTAGGGTTTAGAGTTTAGGGTTTAGGGTTTTCCAAAAGCCTGGAGAATGCAGGGAACTGCTGCGAGCCTCTTCTGCTGCCGGCAGGAGGCCATGCTGAGCCTCGGGGACGTGTCGTCGAGGCAAGGTGGAAAAAAAAGCCTCTGCTTCTTCGTGGGATCCGAACCTTGTCAGTTCAAGCCTTGAAAGTGGGGCAATCGCTCTAGATCCGCTGCTCGTCTGAAACGCTGAGGTATTATTCGTTGACTTCTTCGACCTTCTTCCGTGAATGGTCCCTGCTAGGGTCTGCGAGAGCTGACCGAAGGGACGCTCATCTTCCGGCGCCGATTATGGCATTAGCTGAGGCTTCAACGCATATGCCCTCGAGCATTTCGACCTGCTTTACAAGGCCGATGAACTTATTTTTGCTGTGCTTGCTTTCCGGCTCGCTTCTCAAACACACGCAGCAATCCGCATGCCCTAAAACTTGGCACTGCAAGTTTGCTAAAGCAGCTATTTATGTCGCCTTACAGCTGGCACAGAGGCAACATGCTCAGGGTGAGTACTTAAATTATGCAACGAATCAGATGCTTGCAGTCAACAGGTCTTAGGCCTCGTCTGCAGCATCAACCAACAAATCTCGCATATCCAAAAAACGCACACAGCATCATGCTTGGAAACAGCCGTGTGGGCGATGTACTGGTTTGCAGAAAGTCTCGTCAATACAACATTTGCCCGCAGCTTGGAGCGGTCAAAGACAGGTCTTTCAAGCGAAGGCACGAAGGCTCTTCTGTTCTACACCCAAAGCTCGTGCAGCGGGATGCGAAGCCTGCTCGATGAGCCCCGACTGGTCATATCGCCTCACGCTAGGCTGCGCAGCGCAGTTGTTTCCCCGAGCTGTTGCATTCGGGGCCCCGGGCCACAGCTGCCCCTCGATCATCGCCTGAGCACGCGCGCAGGAGTTCGTTTGATTTCGGGGTCCAGGCCGCTGGCGTTGCAGAGATCTGAGGTGCCCGAGGAGCCTGCCACCCGTTCCTGCTTCTCGGGCTTGGAAAGTGGCCACTCCCAACCTCTTCTGTGCACGAAGGTGCCAAACCGCATGCCCAAAGTGCCTGCTGCCGCTTTGAAAAAGCTCCCTGCATTTGGTGTTCGGTGGTGGCGGCAGGCCATCATCCAATGAACCTGGCAAGCTGGAACCGAATCTATTCTATGCTGCGTCGTCAATTTCGGACGAGCATTACCAGCAGGTGCCCAAGAGCTGGCACGCTTCAGCTTTCTCCTGACATCCTGTTCTACGGTCACCAGGCAGGGTGCACCGGCCACATCGTCGTCATCCAGCCGCTGTCTTCCAGTTGCTGGCCTTTGCTCTGCAAAGTTGGCTCAATCAGACAGTCGCCCCCGAAAGAAGAGCACGGCTTGCCCTGCGCAAAGAAAAGCCGAAGTCTCCTCTTCGAAACAGTTCACTGACTATTGCAAACTCGTGGCGACTCCATAGCTTCTCTCGCGGGGGTTGAGCCTGCAAAGCTTTGCAGCATCCCTCATGTGTTAGGGGGATGCGAGGTGCCATGTGAAGCCTGCATTATTGGACGTGTGGCTTAGGATTCTCTGCATTACTTGGCCGTTACGGACCCATTCTGCAATAAGTCGACTGCAAGAGAGGCATATTAGGCGAAGGCCTGCTGAGTAGAGTTTAGGGTAGGTCAGGCAGCAAACTCCTTCCAAAAGGAGAAGACTGCGAAGGTAGAACTCGTGTGTCTTCAAACACACGGACGCTGAAGTCTGCTCCCTTCAACACCAGCAGCGATCCGGTGAATCCCGGCCCTAGCCGTAGCCTGCTGTGTTGCGCGCACGACGTGCTGTCGAAGTCGGAGGTGACGAAAGGTAGTAGCCATCCTGCCACGCGCAAGAACAGCATCCGGCTGTCCATGGTCATGTGACCTACGTAATGCTCCCCGTGCGTTGCAGTAATAACCAGCAAGTCTGTAGCAAAGAACCACCCTCTGTGGCATAGCCCATGCCCCCTATGTAACAGTACCATGGTATCGTTGATGTAAAAATATGTAAGCGGTTATCTAGCTGGCGACCGTGTTCTGCAAGCACGGTCACTGCAGGTGCAGCATTACAGATAAGCTTCGCTTTCCACCAGAAATGTCCGCTTCACAGCCTCGCGACTCCACAACCAGCTATTGCGTTGCATCAGAACTTGTAGGCAGCGTGTGAGAAAGCGCCAAAGGCGGCAGCAACGACTGAGAAAGACAGAGAGACCCCGGCCCGGCGATGGCCAACAAGACCAGGTGGGCATCAAAACCAAGCGGAGGGGACAAACACTTTATTAGCTGGTAACTGATCCCTCCCCAAGGGCCGGGCCCATCGAGGCTTCGCAGGTCTTTCCGACCGGCTAGCCTAGCGAAATCTGGCGAAGCTCTCGGCGGCACAGTGCATCACGTTTAACACGACAGAACAATCAATACAGCCTGAGGCCAGAAAGACCACAATCCTCTGTGGTGAAGAAAGGGGAACAGAGAACGATCCACCAGCAAATGGCCTCTAAGGTCGCGGGAACCGTAGCTGAGGGCTGCTCGCCTGAGCCGTTTAGACCATTGCTGAAGATACAAATCGACAAAGAGAAGCAGGCTCCTGAAACGCCTTTATTTGCATGTGTCCAGCCTTCTGGAATTATAGAAATGGGTCTTTGGAATTGGTCAAGATTGGAAGAGAGACGGTGTGAAGCTTGACCTCTTGCTGGAGACCGAAGGCCATCGTGCCAGGCAGAAGAAGGCCTACGTTTTTCTACTACGGGCAGCTGTGCCACACGCCTGGTTCTGCACGAGGGACTGCGGCAGGGGCCGCCTGCCGCCCAGCGCAGACGAGGCGAAGACGTTAGGACAAGGCACTCCCTTTCACCAAGTGTCGCCTATGGTGCCTGTCGTTGCTACGAGACTTCATGTGTCCAGCCCGAGCCTTCTCGATCTGAGAGCGAAGCTCTGACAAGGAGGCCTCCCCCAACGACGCGTATGAGGCTGGTACAGGCTTTCTCACACTTTCTACCCCGCCAGATTGTTGGGGGACGCGACCAGCTTTTGTAGGATGAAGCGTTACTGCGAAAGGAAAATTCCTACGAGCAGACGCAGACCCATAATCCGACTTAGTGCACTGTAGCCCCATTCTCACCACACTCCCCCCACACGTTTGTAAAAGCCAGGGCACCTGGACATGCTGCAGGGAGGGGTCTTCCTGCAGGCAAGACATGAGCTCTCGGAACCACTCCCTTGTCGGTCTGGCTGCGGGCCGAGAGGAAAAAGCAGTACTAGCACGACACGACTACGAGCCCAATCAGACTTGTCAGCGGGTCTCGGTGTGCAGGCCTGGAGAGATCTGTCGATGGTCTGGCGTCTTTGGGGAACAAGACGCATCAGGCCGCGCCAGCACTGTGAAGGACACCATCGATTTCTTCGCTCCTGGTTGGTAGTGAATGCTTCCAAGTCCGTCTGTGTCGCCGATGCCTGGACCACCAGTCCGGGCAAAGACTCCATGCTTTACCATGATTCCTGTGGAGAACTGATGAGAAATCAGGCATTCCTTCCCTAAGCACGTCTAGGCAGGTCTGCCTGGTGGTGACAAGGCTGCTCACCACTAGTAGTGGCTGTTAAAGACGGCATTCGTGCCATTTAGTTTGCGTGTTTTCTGAAGATGTGTTCCATTTCCACCCTTGTCTCTCGTACCAGCCGGCCTGTGCCAGAATCATCTCCGGAGGTATGGATTCCGCCTGAACTGCCGACCTTGACTCTTTGGAGCCATGCACGGCGTTTCTGCAAACTCGTCAGCCGGCGACTCTGGAGCTCTCAGCTCCGCACAGGCCGGCCTTCAGCGCCTGCCATTTGCCAGAGAGAACAATGAAAAAGGGCTCTACGGAGGATTGAGCCAGTACACTGTCGCACTAAACGGCATTGACGTGTGCTGTCCAACCTCAACTCAACCCCTCCCAGGCATCTCTCTCAAAAGCTAAGTGCGTTCAGCGCACGGCCAGTGCGACGTCGTCCTGTGGCAGCTCGTGTCCCCGAGCCTCGATGTCTTGACAAACCCTTTGCAGCCGAAGTTGTCATTCAAGGATCCGTTACAGTGTCCTGCAGTGGCTGAGTCTTAGCTGAAGTCGTTCGTTGGAGAAGACCAAGTGTGCTGCCACCCCAGAGTTCCGCACCACCGACGCCATGGATGCCTCACTCATGAAACCACACAACCCCAATTCAATGGCCTGTCTTTCATGCCGACTGCTGGCAGAGTTCCTGAGAAGGTGCGGCTCATGAATGCGGCAGCATGCACATGCATGTACGATACACTGAAAAATAAACGAAAATCACGCAACACTGTCCAGTACAGTGCACTGCAACGCAATGCAATCAAGACAACACCCAACACAGCACAGCACAATACGTTCATACACTGTCACACAGACACGCACCAACATGCCGGCACGCTCTCACCGGCAGATCACAACATGTGAAGCACATACATACATGCAATACACACACAAGCACACGCACGTACGTGCACCTGCACATCTGCATAAGCATGCGACTATGTTAGGGGATCGCTGACTGCACTCGGAACTGCAGGCAAAATCCAACCTCAGCTTCTGCCTATGACCCTATGACCTTGACTTCGTATAGCATTTGCCTTACATCTGAGTTACGAAGTCGCTGGCTTCCCGCCGTGTAGCTACAGCTATCCGAAAATACATGTGCACACTATTTATATTCGCTTGCTTCAAATACCACGGACGATGTGCTTGCTTACTCACATGTGTGTCTACATGTGTGCCTTTACTTTCATGTTGAAACGTGGGCAACTTTATCGGTGTATCCTTTACATTGGCTTCCATCGACCCCTCTATCCGTCCATTTACCTGTACATGCGTACACACACGCGCGCATGTACGCAGAATGTTATACACTGGCATGCATAGACAAGAGCAAGTGCATAAGTGCAAACGTACATAAACAAACATGGCACTCACATCTTTCCGTCTCGCACATACATACCCACCTGCCTACTTACCTACCTTCCTTCCTACCTCCCCTGCTACCTCCTTACTTCCACATACCGCCCTACCTCCCTACCTGCTTGCCTGCGGTCGGCCTACATACGTAAACACATTGTCATACACATGCATACAAACAAACATGCATACACACCCGCATACATTCACACATACATACATACCGCTACATACAGCTACATACAGTTGCATACAGTTACATACAGCTACATATAGCTACATACAGTTGCGTACAGTTACATATTGCTGCATACAGTTACATAAAGCTACACACAGTGACCAACAGGCACACACACATGCACAGATACATACACATGCTTGCACAGATACATACATACATACATACATACATACATACATACATACATACATACATACATGCGTAAATACATAAATCCATACATACATAAATACATACATACATACCTGCATACATACATACGAACATACATACATACATACATACATACATACATACATACATACATACATACTTACGTACATACATACATACATACATACATACATACATACACACACACATACATACACACACATAAACACATGTGCGCACACATACAGATGCAGACAGACATACCAGACAGACGCAGACGACTGAGACAGACAGGCATCCTTTGTCGATTCATTTCTTTCCCTTCCCGTCCCATCCCCTCCCTTCCTTCATTGATTTGGTCATGCCTCGCATACGTACGATGCATCTACACATCAGCTCGACTTTTGCATCACAATCTGTCTCGTTTTGCTTGGCTACGCTACCCTACGTTCTGTGAGTCCCTGCCTGAAGCACTCCAAGGGCCGCCGACAGCCGCTCCACTTGCAACTTCGCTGCGTCCTGACACGCAGCAGTAAGCTTGCAAACTTGGAACCGGTTTTTGTCACTTCTTGTTGTTGTTCTCCTCCCGGCGCTTGGACTCTGCCAGGTGCGATGCCATCTGATGTACGGCCTGGGGCTGAGATAGGCAACTTGCATACACACAGTTCTCACAGAGCTGAGACGGAGACCACATCGTCAAGTTCATGCTGCTTTCGAGCCGCCTATGCAGATCTGCGATGCAGAAAACCGACTTGCGATCTCTCCTCTCCATGAAAACCCGAGCCTGCAAGTCACACTGAAGCTTTGTCACCTGCTCAAGGCCAATTGCATATGCTAGTAAGTACGAGTGGTCTCAATTGCAATCGCTGCAGGGCCCAAAGGGGCTCGCGAGCCTGCTCACGAAGACTCGTTCTTTCAGCCTCAGATCGCCGCAACAAGAAGCTCGAATAAGAAAAGCCTCGGACAGAAGACTGGTTCCCATCCGAGAATATGGCCACGAATTTTTGGGTCATACTGCGCTCCTGCTGAATTGCAGGCTTGAAACATGCCATGAAGCTGTTGATCTGGCAGCTCATAGGTAATTCACTCACACTCAACACCATCACCCAAGTGCTCAAGATGCCTCACCGTGTCACATTCCAAAGCGGGATGCTTGGAGGCTTAGTCTCGCCATCTCCTTCTCGAGGAGCTCTCGGGATCTCGCTAGTTCCTGGACCACGTCCGCCTTGCCGATGCGCAGTTCGAACTTCCCTGGCACTTCCTGCTTGAATCCGCCTTAAATTCAAATCAAAGCGTCAGAAAGATGGCAAGTGACAACCCACCACAGGTGCGCAGTCTCTCATGAGCTCAAGCGGTTGCAACCTGCTCGGGGGCAGCGCCGGAACCTGTCAGAGCAGGAGCAGAGCAGAGAGAGTTCGAGGGCAGAGACTGTGCTCAACGAGCATCGCGGCCGACTGAAGCATAACCATTGGCGAGGAGAGAACTCGTCAACAACAAACGCTTCGCCCTTGCCCGCACTGTCCACTGCAGGCAGCGGGCCTCCGTGGCTTTCACGCCAGGCATTCGCACGCACTGTCGCGCCAGGCCCGGTGCACTGGGCAAGCGGGGCAAGGCGGGCAAGGCAAGTTGCGCGATTAGAAAGGCTGAGAGCGGATTGAATTAAACCGATGTCAAGTGTGCAGTGCAGCCAGGTCTCGTCGTCATTGTTGTCAAACAGCTTTCGTCGTAGAGTGTCCTGCAGTCCGTGTCCAGACCCGGACCCCGGCCACCGTCGCAACACTCCTGGCCTGACCAGGCTCCAGACAGGAGCTTTTCCTTGGCTGCGCCGAGATGCACCGTTCTGCGCCCATCCACGCAGCTGAGCTTCCAGCAGCTCCTCTGTTCGGAAGCTGGGAATCTGTGGCGTGGCCATCCTGGCACAAGACACTAAGCACAAGTCTCGCAAACATGTTCTTGGCAGAGCCTAAATCCGCATCTGGGGCTTCATCTACAATGATATGCCGAGAGCGGTGCCCAGGAGACGAAGAGCGGCTGCTGTCCGACATGCCTTTCAGAGACTGCATGACACATGTCGCCTGTGTAAACTGGCACTGCTGCGGCCAAGTGGCCCCAGTCCATTCCCAATGACCCCTACAACTCGTTTGTGAGAAGCTGCGGGCGCAAATGCACGAATTTTCTGGATGCCATTGGATCAACGCCTTCATGGTCCGATCGTGCCCTCTCAGGCTCGGCCTGAGGCTTGTGGTGGATTTTAGACTTACCGTGTGGGGCGAGTTCTGACCCGGGGTTTCTGGTATTCCCATAAAGTGTTGCATGGCTTTGCGTTGCGCACATGGGGCACATTTCCAAGGGGACGCGCATGTGCGATTCCTCAAGAGCCTATTTCCTCTTGGCGACCAGAAGGACATGGATGGTCTCTCCGGCACCAATGCTGCGATGTACTTCTGTTCGGAGGAGGTATGGGGGCATCTTTTTGACCGCATCAAGAAGCTGCATACTTTTTGCCCTCCCAGCAGCCGACGAAGCAGCATGGCAAGCCCGTCAGGACCAAGCGCGGAAGCTCGGCCTTACACAAAGCAGAACCCGGAAGGCCGTTCAACAGCGGATCGGCTTCAGAGCGGGGTTTGAGACCCTTGCTGCAAGAAAGCCAGGCTCACGTCCGCCTGCGTTTCTTGGGCCACAGTGCCTGATGGATCTGATGGGCCCAGATGCTCAGAGCTCAACTCCACGCGGGCTGATGCTGGCCTCAACGGATTTCCTCTTGGTTGCGCCTGGTGGCTCAGCAGAAAACAGGGTCGAAGTTTTCTGTGACAGCAGTGAACGCGCAGATCTGCTCTTCATGTTATCCCTAGACAAACCGAAGCGAAAGCAGTGAAAGCGATATCAATGGATGCTTTGTCCGTGCTGGCAAGTCTCACCCGCTTGCTGGAAGAGAGGGAAGAAAAAAATACATGGCCGAGTGGCAGGGCGAGATTCCGCACTAGAGACACTTTCGACCAATGTCTGTGAAGACAGGAACGGAGATTGATTGGCGTAGACCCCACCCCACTAATGGTGGCATAACAGAGGGACTTGAATATGACTACCATCATCCTTCTGATCACGTTGGTGGGTGGGGCCTCAATTGAAAAGACTGAAGAAAATCATACTCGATGCTACACATGGTCATGACGCCTGTCAGGCACACAACGCAAAAAGCGAAGTCGCAAAAGTTGCAACACCCTGGACTTGCGAGACACAGCGTATCTCGCAAGGCCTCCGCGTACTGTGGCACTAACCTACGGATGCATTCGACAAGACCTGTCGAAGTCTGCCGGACGTCAGCGTGTCGCTCCTGTCTAGGCCACGTCGGGAGCCAGATAGCACACATTTTGAGCAGTTCGCACCACGATCCCAACAGCTCTGAATCTAACCTGCTGCTCCACACAGCTCCACAGGCCGTCCTTGAGAGTCGCTGACTTTGGCAGAGTTCCGTGAAAATCGGCTGATCCATGCCCTTGCTGACCAAGCCTGCACGGGCTGCAGGCGAGAAACACAAAGCTCAAGCCAACCGGTCCAACCGTACCGTCCGCAAGCGTGGCCTTTAACTGAAGATGCCGCTTCAGGCCCGTGGCAGCATTCACTCCTCGTGGAACATGCAGTGACTCGACTTCCGGCTGTGCCGTGGTGATTGGATTCTGAAAACCGGCCGCTCTCTGCGACACTTGCAAGGAATGCCGATGCCTAGTGCTGCCAAGAAGCCAGAACTGGTCCAACTGCCACGAGCCTCCTGGCTGCCGCAAGGCGGAAACGAGCTGCAGCCGTCCGGCACGATGCCGAAAGTCCGACAGACTGGTGGGCCATCGACACTGTCTCCGTCGTCTTCGCTACTTAGGCCATGCAAGTTTCGAAGAAGCCGTCGGAATTCATCGGCGTCCAGGCAATAAACTCTCTGAATTTGCCCGGGGGGCGGTGTGCGGTTTGTCACAGCCTCAACTGGAGCAGGAGAGTCAGTGCTTCGGCCGCCGATGGCCAGAGACCCGATGCCTATCACCTTGTGCTCTGCCATGGCTTAGCCGTTGCCGTCCCCGCCACACTACAAGAAAAACTGCTCGAGCAAACCGGTTCGCAGATAGTGTCCGTCTCGGGGGGGGTCGCTTCGCATGTGAGCATGCCGACGCTTCTTCAGCACTTCAATGAACCTGCTGCCCGCACTGCAATCTTGGAAACTGAGAAGGCTAGCAGCACTGCCTTTGACAAGATGGCTTCAAAGAACCTTGCTCTCTGTTGAATTCTTCTGTCGCTGTTGCTCGCACTGTCTCCCTTTAGGGCTCGCCTTCCAATATTTGATCGAATGCGCAAACGATCCTGGGTTAGCCATTTGGACACTATGTTCGGCGAAAGCAGACTGAGGGATGCCTTTTCTCGGCCAGTGAGTCCCCACGCCCTCGATTTCAATTCCTGCGAGGGGATGTTGCTCTAAAAGAAGAGGACAATGATTTGCGACTGGACAAATGCTCAGAACTTCGTAGTTTCGACACATGCCCGTCAAAAAGAAGGCGAGATTCGTTACAACTCACTGCAAGGGGTGCGGTACCCGCTCGCACGGCTGTAAGAAACTCAACAAAAAAACATCGGGAGACACGGAGTATAAGGCCTCCGCATACTGTGGCACTAACCTACGGATGCATTCGACGAAGTCTGCCGGACGTCAGCGTGTCGCTCCTGTCTGGGCCATGTCGGGAGCCAGATAGCACACATTTTGGCAGTTCGCACCACGACCCCAACAGCTCTGAATCTAACCTGCTGCTCCACACAGCTCCACAGGCCGTCCTTGAGAGTCGCTGACTTTGGCAGAGTTCCTTGAAAATCGGCTGATCCATGCTCTTGCTGACCAAGCCTGCACGGGCTGCAGGCGAGAAACACAAAGCTCAAGCCAACCGGTCCAACCGTACCGTCCGCAAGCGTGGCCTTCAACTGAAGACGCCGCTTCAGGCCCGTGGCAGCATGCCTTGCCGCTTGGGCGAGGGAGCAGCTCTCTGCACTACTTTGTCCGACCTACGAAGGCCTAAGTTGCCTAAGTTGTTACGAGGTGGTCAGCTGAGGTCTCCGGCAGCCTATTGCCGTCACGAGTGGTCAGTCGATAGGTTATCGTAGTTCCTCTGCGGGTTGCCTCTACTGTGTCGTTCCTGCGCACGTCCCCACGGTTCAGTTGCAGCTCGCTGTGCCTGCCTTGTAGTTGTGCCAACTCCTGCCTGAAGGGCGTGTAGCTTCTGTACATGTGTGCAGGGTTTGGCGGTTGTTTTGAAACGTGCCACAAGGAGTCTCATTTCTCATCGTTCGTTCTTCTGGGCTCCTTGTGACGTCCTTGTGGAACATGCAGAGGCTCGACTTCCGACTGTGCCGCGGTGATTGGATTCTGAACACCTCTTCCGGTGGGACGTTATTTTGCAGCTCTCTGCGACACTTGCAAGGAATGCAGAGGCCTAGAAAGGACCTAGAAGCAGCTCATGCTGCCAAGAAACCAGAACTGGTCCAACTTCCACGAGCCTCCCGGCTGCCGCAAGGCGGAAACGAGGTGCCTCACTCGCTCACATCAAAGTCGCACGGTTGTAAGAAACTCAAAAAAAAAAACACCTTGGGAGACGCGGAGTATAAGGCCTCCGCATACTGTGGCTCTAACCTACGGATGCATTCGACAAGACCTGTCGAAGTCTGCCGGACGTCAGCGTGTCGCTCCTGTCTTGGCCATGTCGGGAGCCAGATAGCACACATTTTGGCAGTTCGCACCACGATCCCAACAGCTCTGAATCTAACCTGCTGCTCCACACAGCTCCACAGGCCGTCCTTGAGAGTCGCTGACTTTGGCAGAGTTCCTTGAAAATCGGCTGATCCATGCTCTTGCTGACCAAGCCTGCACGGGCTGCAGGCGAGAAACACAAAGCTCAACCCAACCGGTCCAACCGTACCGTCCGCAAGCGTGGCCTTTAACTGAAGACGCCGCTTCAGGCCCGTGGCATCATTCACTCCTCGTGGAACATGCAGTGACTCGACTTCCGGCTGTGCCGTGGTGATTGGATTCTGAAAACCGGCCGCTCTCTGCGACACTTGCAAGGAATGCCGATGCCTAGCGCTGCCAAGAAGCCAGAACTGGTCCAACTGCCACGAGCCTCCTGGCTGCCGCAAGGCGGAAACGAGCTGCAGCCGTCCGGCACGATGCCGAAAGTCCGACAGACTGGTGGGCCATCGACACTGTCTCCGTCGTCTTCGCTACTCAGGCCATGCAAGTTTCGAAGAAGCCGTCGGAATTCATCGGCGTCCAGGCAATAAACTCTCTGAATTTGCCCGGGGGGCGGTGTGCGGTTTGCCACAGCCTCAACTGGAGCAGGAGAGTCAGTGCTTCGGCCACCGGTGGCCAGAGACCCGATACCCACCTTGTGCTCTGCCATGGCTTAGCCGTTAAAGTCACCACCACACTACAATATACTACAATACAACTGCTCGAGCAAACCGGTTCGCAGATAGGCTCCGAACATCGAGGCACGGCAGTCAAGCACGAGGCTCCAGTCCTACCACAAATTCCTGCATCCTTCCACGGCCTCCACGCGTGAATACGAGCTTGCTGTTGCTGGACTTTGCAGCGTTGAAGACAAACCTGCGAACTGAAAGCCAGGACAGAATGCAAAGACTTGCTGCAGCTCAATCAAGCTTGCCTGTTCTTCGCATCTCCTGCGTGAAAGCACGGTCTGGGATCCAATGAAACAACTTTCATGTGGGAGTCTCATCGTCAATTACCCGCAGACCACGCTGTGACCGCTGTGCGTAAGCCAGTTGAGTCATTAATTAGGGGCGACCGCAGGAGTGTCACTGCAGTCATCCTGCTCTTCGCATCGCCGTGTCGGCAACATTACTTGCGATCAGTGGGAGGAAAACGGTGGATCTGTCCGCGGGGTGGCGGGGGATAGCGCTCATTACTTCAGTGGCAACGTGCGCAGCTGGCGTAGAGCTAAACAGGTATCCAATCTTCTGAAGATCATGCACAGGGAGACTCCTGTAAACTTCTTCAAATCGGCCGGATGTTTGATGCGCTTCTGAACGATGTACTTGCACATGGCACCGCGCGCCTGCAAGTCTGGCACATGGAGGTATCAAGGACGGAAGTGGAGGCTGATCAAAGGGTTTATCGCATGACTACTCAGACTATGCCTCGAGTGAAAGGGGGCACCTGCTTCACCAAGCTGGAGGGCCCGGAGAAGTCGCAGCTAACCACTTGCACGCCTTGGGAGGCAGCCAGCATGTCGTCTGGTCTTCAGCGTGTCCTTTGACTCTCTGGAAACGAGTCTCTACGCTTTCGAGAGTGGATCCGGCTCGAAAACTTCCTCACGCAGAGCCTCGTCGCGAGATCTCAGTGGGCCAAAGGCATCCACCAGGGCTTGGAAGGTGCTGTACTGCTGTCGAGATCTGTAGAGTGTAGAGATGTGTAGAGGGTACTCAGATGGAAGATTTCATTTGGCCTTCCGGATGCCGAGGCTCCTGTGCATCTCTGGAACGGAGCTAATTTTAGCGGAGTCGTGGAACCCTACGGGCTCAAGCTGTACACGCCAAAACGGAAACATGGAACCGCCGCCTTACTCCACGTTGGGTGACCGCATAGCAGATCCAACTTACAAAAATTGCACTCGGCAGGAGCAGCCATCAGAGGCTCTCAGCTGTCTTGCCAGGAAGGCCAAACATCTAGGCCGGGTCGAATCTGAGGAGCCCTGATGTTCCTGCGCCGTCTCTGAATTCGAGCGTGGCTCATTTCGGGCAGCCTTTCCCTCTCAATCCTCTGTGCCAACGCAGCAATAGACTGACGACCAGGACCTGGATAAATGTGAAGCAGCTACCGGTTACCAGGCCTAGCATTTAACTGACTCCCTAGAGCCCTAGAGAGCAAGAGTCGCGGAGAGAAGGCATCGAGCTCCATCTGAGCCGAAGACTGGCAGGCAGTAGCCCAGGTACACCATCACAATGAAGCTCCAGGGGCCCACCTGCACATGTGGGCATTCCTATTTGTCGAGCAAGCCTGAAGAGAAGCTCCCTGTTTCATCGCCACAAGGGCTGGCGCCTTCCAGTGCAGTGAGCTGTAGGAATCTTCCCTGGGAAAGGCCTTGCCGGCTTCCGCCCAGATGCACCCAGATGCCACGGAGAATCTCATGCCTACGGGTGGCACTTCCGGTCACAGAGGCTCTCCGAAGGGCCTCCTCTGGGATTGGCCGGTCCAAGAAGCGGCAAAGGGGCTCCCAGCCTGCAGCTGGACATGAGAGGCCGTGGCGCGTGACATGCTAAGACAAGGCTTGAGACATGATGCCACGATATGCCGCGACTGCACCAGTCGGACCGGAAATCTTTGTACTGCGCACCTTCTCGAATGTTGTACTCTAAGAGCGCCTCTGGCGGGATGGCCTGTCGTGGCCGACTGCAAGTGCAACGGGGTGCAGTCGGCAAAACAACAGCTTGCCGAGTGTTCCCGCACGGTGCTTCCTGCCTGTCTCAGCCTCTGCAAGTGCTCCTCAAAGCCATCCAGACCTGGGCTGCCCAACTTCCGAAGAGAGGCTATCAATCTGTCAAGCACTGAAGCTACAGTACCGTGCTACCAGATACGAAGCCGAGAGGCATGATTGCTTCTCGTCGTCCGTCAGTGGCCATGGTGGAAACCTGAGGAACTTCACCGTGTTTCTTTCGACGTCCGAGCCGGGATCTCTGAATGCTCAATGTGGTCCAGACACCGCGTCACTGCACCACAGCCAATCCGCTCTGAGACCAGACGCCAATACCTGAGCAACAGGCTGAATTCTCCAAAATGCACTTGCCACCGTACTACTTGCCCATGGGCAGCTGCTTCCTCAAGGTGCCACAAAGCATAGGTAACACGCTTAAGAGCCAAAACAACAGCAGCATGTAAATATCAAGAAAACAGGCAAAGGTAGGAAGAAGCAGCCAACGAGTCGATCAAGCAGTCCGGCAAAAGCCAGAAAAAGCCAGAGACAGCAGGCCCAAAGGCTGTCCAAGCTTGCAGCGAAGGTTTGACGGAAGGTCGAGGCGAGCCGAGACAAGGCCCGGAACCGCGAACCGCAGACGCCGCTCAACTGCAAGGCCATCCACGTGTCCGCCCGTCCATCCCTCCATCAATCTCTGCATCATCCATCCGCCCGGCCATCTTTCCATCATCCATCAGTCCGTCCGTCCATCCACTGAGTGGGTATGTCTGTTTGCACGAGTGCATCTGCACATGTTTGTTTGCATCATTTGCAAGCATCATGTATGCCCGCATAAACACTTGCATCCACAGGTACCATGAAGTCGTCATCGTGCTTCCGGCTACAGCTTCTGGATCTCAGCCATTGCTGTCGTGGTTCCAGGCAGTTGCTTCGCACAGCAATAACCCTCTACAAATCAAGATACTGCGCAAAGGGCTGGTAGAGAACTGTCAACGGGAACGGCTGCGTGATGGGAAAGGATGGGAACCTCAGATGGAATGCGATACAACCAGATTCGCTGGCGGTTCTTCTTGGGCTCGGGGCGTGCTTTCCCAGGTACACATCACGAAACCCTAGGCTCAATCCACACTTTTACACTCTCCCATCCCAAATCCATCAAATCTCTGCAAGGCCTAAGACCAACGAATAAAACAAGCTCACGCAAGCCCACAGCTCCCCAAAGATATCGAGGCAGCCGAGACTCGGGGGCGGGGGCAGCAGGGCCCCCCAGCGGAAATGCTCCCAGTAGCTGCGAAACCTCGTCAGCTAGCATCGAGTTTGGACTGTGTGTGATCTCAAGATGCAGTAGCATCACAGAACCAAGTGACCAGGACTCTTTGTCACGAACAGTCACGATAACCTGGCATCATCCAGAGGACTTCACGCGTCAACATACGTTCATGTGAACGTCCCCAGGCATGTCCCCGGGAAAAGTTCTGCTGGAAGCTTAGCTCAGCATGCTGCAGTTAGAGGTCAGACAGCCAGCATGCCTTGCACTGACTATGTCCAGCCCGGCACAACTTTACACTGAAGAGGCGAGCGCATGGTATGTAAAACCCGCCTTGGCCTTGGGATAGCGTCGGTGGAGCTCAACTCCATACCTCAGCCACGACACAGCCAACTGCAGCCATGCTCTACGGAGCGTTTGATTGACATGGCTGGACAAGAAACCCTAGACCCTAGACAAGGTTGGCAAAGTCAAGATGCCAGCAACATGTCAAAATCCGATTCTGAAATGACTGTTGTTCAGCGTTGCTGGGACCACGGGATATCTACCAACGCCGTGACGTTCAGCATCTCCAGCTGTTCCAGCGTAGGCTCCAGCACCTGTGACATGACCCTGAGATCCACAACTCCGGCTGCAAGAGAGTGTGTATACTGTATATACAGTTTTGTGTGGCTGTGGCAGAGGCCTCGAAACTGTGTTCGGCGAAGGACCGTCGAGCTGCCTCCACTCCAAGACTGCACTCTAAGTGGGCAATGGAAACGGGAAGAGACACCTATCTCGACCTGCATTCGGCCTGATCCGTGAACGCTAGTCCTGTGCTTCAAGTGTATCTTTTGTCTGCTGCACCTTGGTCACACGGTCCACGATGTCCGGTGCTTCCCTTGCCAGCTGCAGTTTCGGATGAAAGCCTGACATCAGGAAACTCATGCCACTGGCGACCTGGGCCATCTTCGAGGCGAGGTTGCGGCAGGGCCTTCTGCATGAAGGGTCTTGTGGCCCAGCTTTGCCAGAGCGAGCGACAGCGACTGCGTTGAAGTCCTTGAGACGCCGGCTGCAATGACCTGCTCAAACCATGGCAGAATCTCTACTGTGAGAAACACAGCACGGGCCAGTTTGTGGCCACCCTGCCAGTTTCGGTCATATTTCGCCTTGTAACATTGCCCTTACCCCATCACCCGAACGGATTGCTACACCTCCCGACAGAGAGATGTTCATTGGACCTTCTGGCCTTGTTTTGCTGTTTGTTCCTCATCTCAGACTGACAGTGGTTTCGAAATGTCTGACAAAGGAATCATGCCAAGCTGCAAGCTCTGCCATAATCCGCGCTTGAAACGGAAACATAGCTACACTGACAAAGAGTGGCCTGCAATATCCTGCAATGCAAGTTAAGTCCAGTTCAATACTAATCCTCATCCTCACCGTCCTGCGTCTCATCATCTCCCTCGTATGTCTCATCCCCCACACGCAAACAAATCGCCGTGTCGCCATCATCATCATCATCATCAACATCATCAACATCATCATCATCATCGTCATCATCATCATCATCATCATCACCGTCGTTGCCATCATCATTACAGTCTTCATGTCCTCGCCTTCACCATCAACGCTATCAACATCATCACCTTCCACCACCCGTCCCTCAACAATTGTCACACACCACCCAGAATCACCCATCGTCCACTGTGCCACACTACCATCGCCCAAGGTGCCTGGATTCCTTCAGCAGCTGCCTGCGGAAGCGCCGTCGCAAGGAAGACCTTCAGCAGCGCCGTCATCCTGGAGGCCTTCCTAGCTGTGGCCAATGTGGTGCTGAAATGGCTGCATGCTTCGAGCTACAAAACACTGCTCATCCATAGTCCGATGTATTCGGATCGTCCGAGAAGGCAGCTTGATGGTAGCTTCTTGGGTCGAACTGCCTTCCAGAACTCCTGGCGGGCTGGCAGGGACAGGTACTCAGGTCGCCCTGCTGACGTGGACGAGCTCTGCGACGGCCGATGGGCCGATGCTGACGAAGGCTACTGGTGATCCCCACTGAGGCAGGCAGGTCGATCCTTGGCCTTCGAAGCCTCAACCTAGGAGAATGGCACCCCCCCACATGCGCGTCTCCTGAGAGGCACAGTTCACCAAGAATTTGGCCTTGCTCAACTTGAGCTCCTTCGGAAAATGCTGGAATCTGGAAGAAAAGCTCCACGAAAATGTGAGCCCCGCCTTTGCAAGGGCATCGGTGATCGTGTCACCCCAAACATCGTACATAGTCTTTCCTGGCACTTTTGGGGAGAGTGCTGGTATTTGGACAAAAGTCACCCAGCCTCGAAGCTTCGAAGTCATCTCCAGGCGGTATGGCCTCCAAAGCGCGTGGAGCTTCGCGCCAGTGAATGAGGCCCCCTCCAGGAGGCCTGATCAGATCGTAAGGCTTCAAGACCTGGCGAAGAGGGCGACACGACTGCTAAGCTCCTGCTTTGAACTTGATATTTGGGGTATCACAAACGAAGTCAGTAGGGAACACATGTCCCGGGAAAGGAGACCACCAAAGCTTTGCAGGCGTGACCCCATAGAGTGCACACCTGGGCGGAAGGCTTGCAAACGCAGTAGATGAAATGAAATCTTCTTCCTGAGTCGGTAGCTACCATATGGTGGCTTGGGCAATGTTGCGTATGCCGAGGACTGGGCAAGATGCGAACACTTGCCTGTGCTTGCTTCTCATCTGCCTCACACGACGCGCCAACTGAAACACTCGGCAGATCCCTGGAATGTAAATACAGGGTCTGGAAATTGCTGCTTCTTGAGAGCCGAGGTCCTGCCTTCGAGAAGCTCTTGGCCGCGAAGCCACGAAAGGCGGGGCCATCAAAGGCCAGGCCTCTGATGAAATTGCATCAACATGTCATACGACATGCCGCAGGCTTTCTACTCTGCCATAACGATCGCAACTTCGCTTGCGGGGGCCTGTTCAAATTTTCGGACTGTTGACCTTTACTGTAGTTCACAGGAAACTTTCGATTCCCCCACGCCACGCCAGGTGAAGGTATGCTCCAACCCACAAGCACGCTTAGGACGAAGCACGAAGCCTTGCTTGGCTGAGCCTTGAACTTGGCAAACCTGTCCGGCAGGCCACCCACGGTGAAGGCATAAATTTGCATGCTCTCATGTGCGTGTGCTCGTGTATGCTTGTGTGTCATATACATAAACATACATGTATATATATACAAAGATATAGATATAGATATAGATGGTCGCCCCCCCCCCGTTGACAGACC